GGCTGTTCGCTGCACCTGGAAGCTACACTGATGAGAGCAGTCACACTGAACCAAAAAAACTAAAGTAGCAGGTTAAAACCAAAACAGTTAAAATAATAATTCCACCCAATGTTCAAATAAAAATGTTTATTAGTGCAGCTTTAAGGTGTTACGTTTCTGAAATGTCTTCACAATAGTTTGATTGTGTTGCATGGCTTCTTAAACACCCGATATAAGCTGACATAGGAATTAAAACAGTATGTGGAGTCTGAATGTCAGGATAATCTTTGTGCCACAACTGTCCTGGCCCGTCACACCTTGGATACAAATGCACCTCAAGTCTATATTGCTGGGATCTAAGTTACATAATGTGTGCATTTGCCAAAAAGGTGAGTGTGTGTCTGTGTATGTGTGTTAGGCTCTATGAATATTTGATGCTGCAGTGAGTTAACACATGAACTTGTTTTCCTCAGAAACTGCGAAAGCTCGAGGTTTGTTTGAAGCACGCTGCTCTGATGTAGTGGTTGCACCTGTCAGCCTTTGTCACCCAGGTGATAAAAACATTCTCTCCTCAACGCGGCGGGCCAGAAGAGAGGTTTTTTTAAAGGCAGATCTGTACATTTTATAATTATAAACTGTGAAGGACAAAACTTTATGGGATGGAGATGGAAAGCGACCTTTTGGACACATTCCCATCAACTTTAATCTCATCATAATACAAGAAACCGGAGACTTCTTTTCATTTTTTAATACATTTTACATCAAACAGGACTTGCAGTATGCAGGTGCTGCTTGAATCAAACCTTGAGGAATTAAATTTATATAAAAGAGGGGGTCCATATATATAAAATACGTTTCACAGCACTTTCAAAAGGTTTTGTGAATTAGTTGGAGATTGAATGTCTTTCAAAAATCCTTTGTTTTGCTTCTGTTCTGCAGTTTCCCGTTTGAAGAAAAATATATTTTACCTTGTTAAAACTTAATTTATACCATCATACAAAACTGAGAGAAATGAAAAATCACCTTTTCTATGAGGAAGGGTTACAAAGCAACAGTGTCACAGTGTGCCTGTGATAGTGTGCGTGCGTGCGTGCCAAGTGTCTCTGCCAATTCCAGTCATTTTAAACAAAGACACATAGCTCTTTCTACTATTTTAGATTCATTTTTTAGTCATTAATTTTAACACATGCTTAATGAATCTATCCCACACACCAGTGAGCTTCAGTAGCTGTATATTAACACCAAGGAGCAGGTTTGCAACTGATTCCTTCTTCAGTAGAAGACACTGTATTCCAATGCCATTAATATCTGTCTAGTTATATTATGTGTCTATTTTGGTGTGCTTATGTGTGTGTGGCAGAGAGCTATCTGTACGTATTAGATTCTGATTACACAGATTGCCTCGAAGTCATTAAGTTCAGCATGCTTAATGGATCTATCTGATGCTTCATTAAGTTTTAATGCATCTGCATTTAATTATGTGACAGGTTCAGTGAGTGTATGATGTGATGTCTTGTATTTTGTCAGATGAAGAACTTGTCTGGGTGCAGCGGTTCCAATCATTTCACACACTGATTGATTTGGCAAGCATCGCATCTTGTATTTCAGTGGTGTGTTGGTGGCTTAAAGATTAGAGAAGTGGCCAAGTGCCGGGTTTGAATTGTCACGCTGCATGGGGAAAGTGAATGATCAAGGGTGCAATTACACAACTGTGTATAGTCTACCCTATCTCAATGCATGCTGGGAGATGCTCCCTCCCTAGATGCTCCTAGATGGTTGGTTATCTGAGTGGCAGTGTCACTACAGCTGCTATTAGTCACAGTGCTTGAACTAGAATTTTAAAGGTGCCATCACTGTTAACAGGCTCATGGTGGATAGTTCACGGTTGTTGGATGTGTTTTTGCCTGTTTTGCACTGCTATGTTGTTACAGTTGTACACATAAAACTACCACTTACAGTGACTGTTTATAGAATGTCAAATACAAAAATGTTGTTGTTATTCTCTGCATCTTCTTTATTATAAGATGAATACTCAGATCTTGTGGCTTGTCACATGATGGCAGTAGGTTGGTCATTCCACCTACAATATCTACAAATATATTTTTGTATTTTTGCCACCTTGAGGTTAAAGTTTGTGGTTTTGAGTCTCAGTCATGCAGCTTAAACCTAACCAACCAATCAGAGGCAGAGTAGGGTGGATCATGACTTTTCCACCCTGGGAAAAGAGATTTGGCGTCCCCCTCAGTATGAATTATAATCACTTTAGTGATCTTCTGACTTTTCATCTACCACCATCATTAAGTCTAAATTCCCATTTGTCCAGTACTTTTATGTTAGCAAACGTTAGCATGCCAAATGCAAAACTTACCTGGTGCATATGGTAAATATAATACTTGCTGAGCATTAGCATTTTAATATTGTCATTGTGTGCATGTTAGCATTTAGCTCAAACACTAAATAAAGCAACATTCAATTAAAATACACGCTTTGCTACAAACATTGATGACAACATGAAATTACTGTAAATTAGTTAAATGTGCTACTTTTATATATCATTTCCATTGATCAAGAACAAGCTTGTGCAACTAAATGAAAGCTAATAAAAATAAAACAATACCAATGACCGATTTTGCCCCTGTGCCCACATTTCCCAGAAGTGCTTGTTTGTTGCTGACATGCAATCAGTCATTTGTAGAACAACTGTGGTCTCTGTACTCACCCTGCAACACGTACACAAGGAAGCTGATGTCTTTGTTTAATACTAAGTTGAACTTCAACGTAAATGCTCACCTTGGATTATGGATCAAAGGACACCTACGTTTTTTATCAAATGTACAAACTTCATCATGGAAGCTTTGTCATCCAGTTAAGCTGCCGTTTAAGCTTAAGCTCTGCTGAATGTGACCCTTCAGATCCAAGCCGAATAAACACAGTCTAAAGGCAATGGTGCCACCACTGCAAATATTTAAGTCGAGTGAATTTAATTAAACATTGTTAATGTAAAAACATCCAGATTGGACTATTTACACATATGAGGATTTTCCAGGAGAAATTCAAAAAGAGGTCATGATGAAATATTTAGAGTTGAGGGCGTTGGCTAAAAGCTCCCTGCCATCTTGCACACTCTGAATATTTTAGTTTCTACCTCTCAGAATTCTGCTCAAGACCTTAGTATACCCTAATTAAAGTAAGCCTCCAAGTGTGTGTGTGTGTGTG